ATGGTTAGTTCAGGTTATTTACTAGTTTCACAAAGTTGTATTGGTTAGTTCAGGTTATTTACTAGTTATACAAAATTGTCATGGTTAGTTCAGGTTATTTACTAGTTTCACAAAGTTGTCTTTGTTAGTTCAGGTTATTTACTAGTTACTCAAAATTGTCATGGTTAGTTCAGGTTATTTACTAGTTTCACAAAGCTGTCTTGGTTAGTTCAGGTTATTTACTAGTTTCACAAAGTTGTCTTGGTTAGTTCAGGTTATTTACTAGTTACTCAAAGTTGATTTTGATAGTTCAGGTTATTTATTAGTTATACAAAGCTGTCATGGGAACTAGTAAATAACCTGAACTAATGAAAACATACCAGGTAGTAAGAATTTGGAGGACTTAAAGAAAAAGAAGATTGCTGAAGCATCTGCAGTCACAACAAGAGCTAATGGGGAAAAAGGCAAGCAAGATTTGAAGGAAATGCAGAAGAAAGACCCTTCACTGCAGGAACTTCAAAACAGTGCCCAAGGGAAAGTCAAGCACAATACAAAATGGAAAGAGAGTTACAAAACAGAGGACCGTAAAGGAGTATTGAACCAGACCTATCAAAGTAGTTCTACTGGTGAAGTTAAACACATCAAAGGAAGTAAGAAGTACTTATATAACAAGAAGGTCAAGCATCGACATTTTGAGGTCGGACAGAAGGTCTTAGTTCTGCTAGCCACAGCCAACGACAAACTCACCCTGCAGTGGAAATGACCTTTTGAAATACAGAAAGTTCTCAACAGAATGGACTATAAAGTAAAAGTGAATGGGAAAATCAAGGTCTACCATACCAATCTGTTGAAGAGGTACTTCAAGAGGGAAGAAGACCTTACAGGTGCAGCTATTGAAGTTCAGATGAACATGGCAGGTGTGGCTGTCATAGATGCAGAATCAGAAAACAGTGACTTCGTTATAGAAGATAAAGACCTACTAAGCATAAGAGCAGTCAATGGAGACGAGACGTACAAGAACGTCAACGTCAGTGAAGAACTCACTGGAAAGAAGAAGAAAGACGAACAAGGTCTACGGTGCATTATATAGATATATCAGAAAGGACAGACCTCAGGCAATACAAGATCAAGGTGAAGCCCTACCAGAGATCCTATGACAAGAGAGACCAACAAGGAAACTGCAAATGCTGGTGTAGACAATATGAGAAGACATAGTATATGAAGTAAGAACAGTCTTTGTATATTGTGTAAAAAATTATTGTAAATATTTTTCTTAAAGAGGGCTTATTGTTGTTGTTGAATATACACAATTGTCTAGTGAAAGAGTTATTATTTAGTTTATTTAGTGATTTAACATTTAATGAATATTTAGTTTTCATAACAAGAGTGTGTTAAATGTTAATTATTTTAAAAGTAATAGTTATGACAGATTTCGTTATGTAACTGTAAGAGTCGTAAGTTGTGTATGTAGTTCAATTGTTGTAGTATTGTTGACGTTATCTTTCTCGAAACCTCTAATTTTTTCTCGCTATGTGAGTATTGTTACGTCATAGTGTCTCCTAGTTTGTAGAAAATGCCAAGCCTCATTTGGGCAAGGTATATGTACAGGTGACCAAGCGAACGCAAGTTAAATGAAGTTCAGTCAAAAGAAAAAGTTAGAAAACGTGAAGTTAGCCGGCATGTGCGTCATTGTTAGTTTAGCCGAAACAGGCGATATTTTAAAGTGAGTTTCACAGTTTAACAGAGATATGGAGACATTTTTTAAATGACCAGGACAAGCTGTAGACACTAGAACTTAGGATCTAAGGGCCACACATATAAGTAAGTAGATTGTACAGGTGAAAAATACATACGAAGTGTTTTACATACATAATAGTGCGTAAGAAGAAACAAGTTGTGTACTTATCATGTGTCATGTGTCATTACTGGTTGATTTTCAAAGTTTGTAATTGTACTTCGTACCTTGTTGTGTTTTATGTTTGATTGTTTTACATAACGCGTTCCTTATGCAGAAAATGTATTTTTGTTTACCGTATCTGCACCTGCTATTAAAAATTACAGAACAAAACTTAAATATGTGTAAGTTATCAGTTCTCTGTTCATAACTCTTAATAGATTCAAGGCAATTCATTTCACGTGGTGGCTAATGATGAATTCTTGTTCTATTTTTATTTTACCGACAAATATTAAAATCTCATTCTAACATTTAAAAATAATAATATTTGAGCGATGAGTAAGATGTTGTTAAAACATGTTTTATTTACTTTATAATATAGCGACAAATAAAATATGTTTTCTTAGTACAAAGGTACACAATGGGCTATCTACACTCTTTCCATCACGGAGTATTGAACCTAGAACTTTAGCATTGTAAGTCTGTAAACTTATCGCTGACCCACCGAGTGACCAAATAGTAGCTAACACTTCGCCTGTTTTTTCTAAAGTAAAGGCTTAGACGAACTTTTCCCAAATAACACTATCTTCGTTTATTCATATATATGTTTTTATTGCTTTTACCTTTTAACCTCGGGTTGAAATTTTAGAAACCTCAAAGCAAATGAAAAATAACTGCCAAATATTTATTTTCTGACAGGACTTCACTATAAATAGGCATTATTTTATTAATCATAGCTAATAATTGTGAAAGCAGACGAATGTGAAAAGTAGAAGATTTAGACTATAATTATAGCCTTTACTTTGCATTCTTTATCTATATACTTAACATTAGTTGTCTCTCAAATGTGTGATAAAACTTTGGTATAATTGTGTACAAAGTCTGACCCTTAACAGCGGCATTAGATCACTCATAATTAATTGTTTAAACACAAGAGGTACAATCACACTGAAATCACTGATTGACTTTCTCTCTGTGTATATAACGGAAATATGGCCTTTGGAAACTTAAAATAATGATGCTTAATAGTTTATGCAATCGTTTCCAAAGTATTTTATATTATCAGCTTTCATTATAACAAATAATATTTTTCTGAAGTTTTCTTTTATGCCTCTTTTATTACAGCAACAGATTATGGTTGTGATTCTTCATGAATGAGCCAAGGTTTCATAAGTTAACTACCGGAAAGTTTTGATCTTTTATTATAAACATTCTAAAACCGTGTCTCATACTTTGAAGAAATACCTACTAAACTAATCACTTTACGTTTCTATGACTTTAAACCACAGTAATCTTCGTATTACTTATTGAAAGTATAAAAGAAAACATTTCTTCGAAATATTTTATCGTCGTCACCATAAAAAAA